AAAAGGGGTCTCAATTTGAGATTCTCAACTAATTTCCTTTATAATAAAATAAGCTGACATTGTTAGTAAGGCAGCTAACTGCCTGCAGTATTATCTTCACTTCAACCAGATATCCATAACAACTTCCTCCAATTCTAGACTAACCCATGTACAAACTCCTCAAATGGCAACACAATATTTCTATTTTGATTGGATATTTCACAGACCTCTCTGGATATGTGGACTATCTCTTCCTGTTTCCACTTAAAATTACTTTGGATGTGTTTCCTTGCAATTCTATGATATGAAACCCATTCCTCCTGTCCCTATTATCAAGAGAAACAGAGGAATCACACACACACACACACACACACACACACACACACACACACACACACACAATCCCTTCACTATGGGCTATATACAGAGGTGCCAAACAACTATCAACATTCACAGATAAAACATGTGAGAGTTTAGTTATCAGTAACAGGACCAGGGAATCCATGTGGATAGTTACGTGGAGCTCTGTTAAAGGAAGGTTCACATCAGGCATACTTTCTGACTTGTCTGTGACTCAGTAACCTCAACCAACTGCTGTGTCTCAGGCTGGCTTTCCTGTACCCTTGTATCTATCAAGTTTTGAGGAATTCCACTCAAGGTCTGGAAAGGTTAACTTTCTCTCTTGGTGTTCTTACACGATTGGCTACAGGTGTAACTTCTTATCTCCAGTTATTCCTCACAAATGTTCAGAAGCTATGATTTTCAAGCCATGGTACTTGAAACTGTTAACTAACACAATTCTATTGTAATAACTTTTCCTGTCACTTTGATGTTAATTTGGAAAGTAAAACTAAAATCGCAATGAAACTGCTTGTTTCGGTAAGTAATGAACTGACTCCCAATTGTTTTATTCTAAACAAATTCACTGGTTATATGATTTCCTTTTGCTCAACATAATATATTTTCATTACAGACAGTACTCTTGCTGATTCAGTCACCTTCCCTTAACTGGTAACTAGTTTGTGATAGGGAGTGACAAATACTGTTTCTACACTCCAGCAAGACACTCTACTAGTCTACAAAAGATCTTCATTAGGCAGGAGGTTATCAAATTTTCAGCGGTGTCACAATAACCAGAGAGTTTGCTAATACCAAGATCACAGGCCTGCAGGATGGCTCATTGGGTAGAGGTTCTTGCTGCCAAGTATGGGTACCTGCATTTGACTCTGAGAACTCACTTGATCCAAAGATAGAGCTGTCCTGTGACCGCCACAGCCATCCTGTGGCATGTGTGCACACTCAGTCACTAAATAAATCACTGAAAGAACTCAGGTTACTGGAGCCCTGCTGCCAAAATTTCCAATTTGGTGAGTGTGAGGTGCAGGTCCCAGACACTGGATTACTAACCAGCTCCCCTGCTTGCCTGGCTGGTACTGGTACTCTTCAGAACTACTGCTCTAGAATGGAACCTTGAAAAGCATCTCTAATGTGTCATGCCACAGAACCTTTGAACGGTGTGCACAGACCCTCACATAATGTATTGTGCTAAGGTGCCTGCAGAGCACAAAGGGTTTCAGACCTGATGCATGGAGCCAACGCCACAGTAATAAGACAAGAGGACTCAGAAATTTTTAAATCATTAAAATGCAGCTTTGCAAATGAAATTACAGCAACATTCTAAAGAGACAGCTGGAAACTCCTGGTCCTGACTGTACAAAAACACAGAACTACTGAGGACCAATGGGTACTGGTGCCACCAGGAGCATCATTTGAACTACCAGAGGACACATCCCCTAGAAGTTCTGGGTTATGTTAGAAATCTGGGAAATACATAGGGGAACAAAGAAAGGAAGGAAGGAAGGAAGGAGGGAGGGAGGGAGGGAAGGAGGGAGAGGTGTTTGGGGGTCTCAGCAACACTGTAAAGGCCAAAGATGATGGAAACAGCAAGTACCAAAGACTGCGGGATGCAAAGCCTGAAAGGAATGTCCAAGGCCAGCTATGGAAGAGAAGCTAACACTTTGTGAAGCTTGTTTGGTCAACTTTTGTTGATGTGTTTCACGGTATGGAGGAAAACTTGACCGGTCTGACAGGAAGTGAGAAAGTGGGAGATATGGGGAAGGAGCCAGGCATGATGAGGGCATCTTCTTGTAAGACCAGCACTCCAAAGACTGAGGCAGGAGAACTGTGAATTTAAGGCTAGCCTGGGCTCCTGGTGACACCCCATCTAAGACACCTACCAGTGGGGCTGGGTGATATGCAGGTCTGGCAGATGACCTGGAGCTGGTGATGGGGAAAGTTCTGAAAACTGGTCAAGCCTCTGCAACAGATGTACCAAATGTCACCAGGCACTTCTGGGAGTGTGAGCACAAGCCACACATTGCTTTATGCATTGGGTGAGAGAGACGAATGCAATGTGAATTTTTTGTGTTTCACTTTATTTTCACCGCGTCTTTACGAACCAAGCTTGCTACTAACTCACTTTCAGTATTGCAAATATTAAATTACAACACTTGTTGCATCCCCTTCACCTATTTGCCACTATGAACACTTGAAAACTTTGTTGAAAAGTTTGCACACCGTCTGCACGGACACGGACAATTCTTCCTTGATTTCTGGAAGACCCTGTGGAGAGTACCACAACCAATAATGTCTTCATACGGCAGAGGGCGCTGTGGCCCTGCATCTACATTGTGGTGAATTTCTCATTGGTCCTGCGAGGGAGCATTTGTAACGTGGAAAAGGTTGAAGGCCCTCTTACACTTTCTCTATGAATGTCACTTCTAATTTCACTAACGAGCTATGGCCTCTGAGCTCTTGTTGTCTGACATTGGAATCATTACGTATGATCTGTTCCTATCCCATCACTCCGGGTATTGTTTTAGACCCCGCCCTGATTTTAGGCAATGTACTTCATTTCATAAGGTTGCTTCTTAGATATAGGTTCCAGTTTTTGAAAAAGAGATTTATTCATCTGTATCTGCATATATCTGTGTGCCTTCCTACCCTGGGAAGCCAGAGAGCATTATATCACCTTGAACTGAAGTCACTGATGTGAACAAGTCAACGCAGGTGCCCAGAACTGAGCCCTAGGCATGGCCAGCAAGTACTCTTTACCACTGAGCCAACTCTCCAGCCTCAGAAGCCCCAATTCTTAAGATTTTTTTTAAAAGCTATTTTCTGATTGAGGGGTGGACTGACACTCTCTCTCTCTCTCTCTCTCTCTCTCTCTCTCTCTCTCTCTCTGTGTGTGTGTGTGTGTGTGTGTTTACTAAGTGTTTACTAAAGTTAATCTCCTGCATTAGAATACAGAACATCCCTGTACACAAATAATTCTTTTTATGTGTGTGATCTTGCAATTTTTTGATACAAGGGTTATTTGAGAAATATTTATCAAATGCTATTTGCAGATGGTAATATTCTTTGATTTATACATTATTCCAACTAACTTTACAGAAATATCAAAGCCAGGACAAGATCTTAAAATCAGTCTTTCTCAGAAATGATACAGAGTTTTGCTAAAATCCAGTGCTCAGATATATTCGACCCCATATTGATCAATTCCCATGATATCTGTGGAGCAGAGTCTGCTTACTGGCAGTCATGTTAATAATGCTCCCTCCTCCATTGTTACACTTGACTAACACATAAGATAACTTCATAAAACAAGCCAGTCACACAGAAGTGTGAGCTGTTTCTTGGCTCTCGTAAGTCCTATAAGGACAGCTCCATGACAGTGACCAGTCGAAAAGGAGGGACAGTGTTTGTAAATAAGAGCTCTTCTATAACACATTTAGAAAGATCTCAGGAGCACTGGCTTTTATTGTGCTTTCCTACAAACTGAATTCCAAGGTCTCAGCGCTCAAACTGGAAGGGAGTTAGGAATTACCTAGTGACCTGGGAAATGATGCTTTGGGGGATGTGGCTTTCTCTTCCTTGGCTGGAACAAGATGCTTCAAAGGCTACCTGCTGCTAGCTTGGCCTGAGAGATTCCTTTGCTTCCCTGAGGTTGCAGGATGATTGTGGATATTCTTTCTGGGTCATGATGATCTTGACAGCCAGAGAGCAAAGAGAAAATAACTAATACAAGGATCAAAAAGGCAATTCCTGAATTCATGAGGAAACATTTTGATGTCCAGGTAGTTAGCCTGGTAATGCTGACAAAAGTTACGTATACCTTGACCAAGAAGGTTGGAAATGCAAACTTCATCAGGGATCACAACAGACCTGCTAGAACTAGCCTGTTAATAGCAGGGCCAAGTGAAGAATGGCCCCTGTCCACAGCCTGGATCTCTGCTCTCACCCCCACATACCTGGATTCCTATTCCCAAGCCTGGATCCCTGTCCCAAGTCTGGATCCCTGCCCTACAGGCTACTACAAACTGTTCTCCTGAGCAGGAGATATGCAGGGTCCACACAAAGTAAACAAAGCCAGCCACACCTCCAGCTGATGGCAGATCCTGGACCTTGTACCATGTTATATGTCCTTCCTGCTTTTAATTGATTGCACACTGAATCCTGCATGTTGCTAGGACAGAAAGAAGAGGTGTTTTCATCCACCACTCCCCACTGCATTGCTGTTTTATTTTGTGACAGGGTTTCTCTCTGAACCTGGAACTCACCAGTTCCAGGAGTCTCCCTGGCCAGTGGGCAGCAATACTTCTGAATCTACCTTCCCAGCACTGGAATTACAGTCACACACTGCCATGCCAGACTTTTACCAACTGAGTCATCCACATCAGACAGAATTGTGAACCTACCTCATTCCTATTGCAGAATGAGACAGGCTGGCTTCATCCTTTTGGGGATTAGGAAATCATTTTGTACAAACTAAGTTCCATTTCCTTTGTCAGTAATGGTTTCATATCTCCCTGAATGCAGAGGCTTACGTGAATATGGAAGTATGGTGTCAAATTGAAAACATGATGTTTACTTTGCACTGCAGATTCCTGTCTGGAACATTAACTGAAAGCAAAATGGTCTGGTTATAAACATGGTGGTGAGTGGACCTTTTTTGTTTGCAGTGGGAGAAACTCCAGATGACTACAAGTGAAAGAAGGAAAATATTTTGCTCTGTCACGTTCCATGTCATCGCTGTCACCTGTGTGGTGTGGTCTCTGTATGTGTTGATCGATCGGACAGCAGAGGAAATCAAGCAAGGTAACGACAATGGTAAGGACATGGCTCTCCTCCCTTCTCCTCCCCTGGATTCTCATGATGGCATCCAAGGGTAGACAGGGAGCTGTTGCCAGAAGTTTATGTTGCCATCAGGTTTCCATGTGGACACCTGAACAAAGCCTAGTACTTGCAGGCAAAACTTTCCCAATTCTCTCCTTGCTCAACTCTGTCTAAAAAGCATGGACCACTGTTAGGCCCAGACAAAACTTGGGGTGGGAGACCATCACCACTTAAGATTTCCCAGAAGCTCACTCAAGCTCTGTCTGACATGGAAACACAAATTGTTAGAAAAGCAGAGAGTTTCTGGGCTGTGGTGGCCCATGTCTTTAATTCCAGAACCAGAGAGGAAGAGGCAGGCAGATCTCTCCATGTGGGACCAGCCTAGTCTACAAAGCGAGTTTCAGGATAGTCAGGACTACACAGAGAAACAAAGAAAAAGAAAGAAAGAAAGAAAGAAAGAAAGAAAGAAAGGAGGGAGGGAGGGAGGGAGGGAGGGAGGGAGGAAGGAAAGAAAGAAGGATGAAGGAAGAAAGAAGAGAGCTTTATTTAGTTCATCCTACCTGTTGCTTCTTTGAAGGCATATGATAACACTGCAATAGACAATGTATACTGGGTAATTTGATGTAGTGGATTGGCACTGTCGTTGAAAATTTAGCCACTCCCAGTTTGTGAATGGTGGTGTCCAGACTACAAAGATAGTCCAAAATACACTCTCATGTTTAAAGCCTTCCCAGGCTTGTCCACATGGGGGCAGCAGTGCACACCAGCATGCCAGGGCTCTGAGCTCCCTGAAGTAAGGATGGACATTGAAGGTTCCTGGCTGCAGGGCTTCTGGTGTGCAAGGTTGTTTAAGGGAAGATGCTCTGGAGACAGCCTCGAAGATCTAGAGTTCTTTTCTAAAAGCAAAAACATAAGAAAAGCCTATATCAACTCTAAACACCAGAAGCATGGGTAGGATGGGATTTCTTAGAATTCATTTATGCAATATTAACGCATTTATATACTGCATCAGTTACAGCAAGCTTCTGTTTTGCCAGATTGTGACTCTCCCCAGAGTTTCTTGCTTCCAAGGTGTCATATTGCATCTGGATAAAATAAATCCTCATTCCCTGCAGGTAGGGCCTTAAAACAGTAATTGCACATAACAAGTTCCAGAAACCCAGTTGTGCCTAAATGGAAAGCAGAGTCCCCATCTAAGACCACCCACTCTCCCCTTAGGAGTAAAGTGTGTTCCTAGCTAGCTAGGGTAGGTGTGATGACTCCTGGCCAGAGACTTCCTACTCTCAGATGGCTAAAGGGAGTCCCTACTGGAGAACCACACATTTCCATGACTAGGCATTCTCCTGACTTGGCCACATTGTGGTGGACAAGAAGCAGGACCTCATCTCACCTATGTTATACCCAGACAAGATTCCCATGGGAAAAAAACTGTATTTAGTCAGCTGTGCTTGTCCGATATCTGAGACACATGAGTTGTGACTGTTTACAGTACAGGGAGATTGATAATCTCAAATGCAGAAGGCAAGAAACCACATCCCTTTCTTTCTTCTGACCCCTTCCTTATGCTACAGTGGTCATCCCTCTATTTTTATACCTTTGGCTGCTATTGATAACCATGCCCCCAATTTTACACCCATCTCATAATATGCTCCAAAGCTTGCCTCTTTTTCCTTCCTGAGACTCAAGCTCAGGGTGTCCACACTATCTCCCACATCCAACATCAGCACCATGAGAAAGGCATCCCTAATAACTGGATCCCCCTCCCTTCTCTGGTCCATCTTTCTTCTCCCTGAAATCAGTCACCAAATCCTATGCATTTTGCCCCATAGCCTTGTACCTTTCCATTTATCTCCTTCAACACTAACAATATTCATGTGAAAACTCTTCTTATACAAAAATGGCCAAGAATCTTTCCTAGACCTTCTCCATTCTCTCCACCTTCAACTCATGTTCATTACCTAGCCCAAAATACAAAACCATGAATCCAAACAAATCCTATCCCCACTTAGTCAATATTGTTAATATGTAACCCTAATTCTTTCTTGGGACTCTGCTGCCCCAAGGACCTAGGTGTCACCAATTAGATCAAACATCTATTTCTAAATCCCTGAGCAAATCTCCCATAATTGCTCAGTTTTTCCTTTATGTAAAATGACTCCAGATTCTCTTGCCAACACACACACACACACACACACACACACACACACACACACTGACACACACATGTGGGGAGAATAGGAGAAAAAGGGAGAGACTATACTTCCATACACATCCTTGATCTAAGTCTTAGGAAACTCAACTCAAAATAGTCCCAGGACCTGCAGCATTGCCCTCCCCCTAACTCATTAGAAATACACATTCTAGCCTTCTATTCCCCAGACCTCTGCATGTGAAACTGATGTGTATCTCCCAGCAGTACAGGCTTTAAAACTGACAAGTATTTCTTAGGTCTGGGAAAATCTGAGAGGCATCACCCTGCTGCGTGTTACCACAGTCCCTGGCACCTACCTTTGCCGGCCCTCTATTTTCTTTGGATTGCCTGTGGGTTTTCTCTACCACCACAAGCCTGCTGTATCTTCCTGGACAACCAGACTTACCCCTTCTGTGAGTGTGTCCTGCAGCCATGCTGCAACTCTCAAGCCTACCAAAAGACTCACACTCACACTGTTAACATAATTGTTGATTTGTTTGTCTGCCTTGACCTGCTCAAAGTAGGCTCATGACAATGTAGGGAACTGTTATCTTTGATTACCACATCGCTGTCTGGGACCTAGCCAGTGTGCAGAAGTGTGGACCTGAGCTTTCCCACGCTTTTGTCTGTAGAATTTTCTTTGAAATGCTTCTTCCTCATTTCCATGTGGGGCACAGTCTTAGTTATGGTTTCTGTTGCTGTGATGGAACACCATGACCAAAAGCAAGGGTTTATCTCAGCTCACACTTCTGTGTAAGTCCTCACCAAGGGAAGGAAGGACAGGAACTCAAACAGGGCAGGGACTTGAAGGCAGGAGCTGATGCAGAACAGAGGTCATTGAGAGGTGCTTACTGACTTGCTCCTTGTGGCTTGCTCAGCCTGCTTTATTATACAACCCAGGACCACCAGTCCAGGGGTGTGACCACCCACAATGGGCTGGGCTCTCCCAGATTGATAACTAATTAAGAAAATGCCCTAGAGCTGGATCTTAAGGAGGCATTTTCTCAATTGAGGTTCCCTCCTCTCAGATAACTCTAGCTTGAGTCAAGTTGACATAAAACTAGCCCATACAACTGACCCTTTTGTTAACTTGACACACAAACATCACTTTTCAACTATTTCTCATTTCCTTTCTCATTTCTCTCAAAGATGGCATATTAATCTAAATATCACAACATACAACATAAATAACTTTAAAAGGCCCATGATTCTTACAAAGTCAAACACATTAAACGTTCAGTCTCTTTAACAATATCCAATCTCTAAAAAGCCAAGCTGTATCTTAAAACTTTGAAGTCTTTCAGCTGTGGGTTCCTGTAACAATCAAAATTAAGTTGAATGCTTTCTTCAAGAGGGAAGAACCAGGGTACAGTCTCAATCTGAACAAAGCAAAAGCCAAGCCCAACATTGTAAATAAATCAGTGTCCAATGGTTTGGGATTCACTCAAGATCTTCAGGGTCACGATAAGGATCATGAGTCAGTTCTCTTACTCTGCCCTCTGCAGCACAACACAGGTCCACTACTTTAGACCACAAATATCCCTACAGAAGTCAAATTTCCCAGTAGAGACCTTGGTACTGGTGATGTATAGCTCAGGTGGTACAGTGCCTGCCTATCGTTCGTGATGTTGGTGACCATCACCACAAAAACAGGCTCTGATGGCTGCATCCATTATCTTGGCAAGCAGGAAAGTGGCAGGAGCATCAGGAGTTGAGAGTCATTTTTGGCTACAGAGTACACTCAAGGACAGTGCAGGCTATATGAGATTCTAAAAAGAAAACTTGATAATCCAGAGTCGGCTTTCATGTAGAGATTAGATAGTGTTCGTATTATTTCGCTGCCTATCAGGAGCCACAATGAGATCATCTTCATCTTGGTATTCACGGTGGTTAACTGAGGAAGCATGGATTTGTGGATCTGTGTACTTGTGGGACATTTTCCAGGACAAAGAGAGTCACCTGTATTTACAACCCACTTGCATCTGAAACCTTCTCCTCCCTGCACCCCCACAGGCATGGTAGACAGCATGCGGAGGTGCTGGAATTGTCTGAAGCCTTTCTTTTCCCCCCATACCGTGGGGTGATGGCAGTGTCTGTCTGAGCTGTTAGCATCTTAGTCTTCCTCAGGCACTGTGAATGCTGATACTGAATTCACCTTTGAAGTTATTGGAGAAGGACTGCATATTTTAAAAAGCTAGAATATTTTAAATCCATTTTGAAGACCTTCAGAAATGTCTGACAAGGAACAAAGTGTCCTTTCCAACCAGAACTGATGTTGTGTCTAAAGCAGCTAGGATCATATCTTATTATTCAGAGAGCACTTGGCATTGGTGGAAGTTCAAAATAGTTCCCTAGCCACCACATGGTGGCTCACAACCATCTAAAATAAGATCTGGTGCAGTCTTCTGGCACACAGGCAAACATACATGTGGAACACTGTATGGATAATAAATAAATAAAATCTTAATGGGGGGCGGGGAGAACTCCTTAACAACCTCAGTGCATATGGTTGCTCCTTATGTTTAAGGACCGGACCTTTTCATTGACTTTTGGTGGTCTTTTAAGGTATCCCTCTGGTGAAAAGAATTAAAATTGCTAGGAATGCTGGGGGCACACGGTGAGATTGTACAGGACTGCCTTTGTGCCAACATCATGGCCGACACCTAACTGAACTTCAGACCTCCTGGATTCTGGAGGCATCCAGAAGATGGCGCCTACAAGAAGTGACAACAATTTGAGTGTGGGCACCACAGAAATGGCTGCTCTTACTGTGCAGCGTAGTCAGCCAGAGACATGGAACTCTCCAGCCAGTCAGGCCACCACAGTGACTCTTCCCATGTACTTTGCCAGCCGGTCTACCAGTCTGTTAATTCACTGAGCTGACACAAGAACCCCATGGGCAGGAGTAATTTTTGCTCCACGTCTAAGCAGTGTGTTAGTTGACTCTATTATGCAAATACCGGCCCACACATGGTGACTTAGAACACCTGATTCTGTGCTTTGGTTAGGCATTTGTTCTGCCTGAGAGAGAGGTAATCTGGTCTCCACAGTCAACTGTTGCACCTGCAGAGGGCTGAAACTCCACCCAGTAGTTGCATGGGCAAAATGGCAGGTGAGGCTAAGCTGTGTGGCGTTTGGCTGTCTCTCTCTCTCTCCCTCTCTCTCTCTCTCTCTCTCTCTCTCTCTCTCTCTCTCTCTCTCTCTGTGTGTGTGTGTGTGTGTGTGTGTGTGTGTAAGCACACTGGAAAGCAGAAAAGGTAAACTAGATATGAGTTCTGACAACATAAAAACTGAGCTCATGTTTCTTTAAAAATTAACAGCTGAGCTCTCTCTCCAGCTTTTGTTATTGTTCTGATCATCTAGCACATTGGTACTGCCTTCCTGATGTGACAGTTGCAGGGTATTCAAAAAGGAGCCAGATGGCTCAGCAAGTGAAGGCACCTGTAGCCAAGCCTGAGGACCTAACTTTGATCCATGGGACCATAATGCCCAAGGTACTTCTCCCAAGTAGTGATTCGGGAAGTCATAGCTGTCTTCAGCACCTCTTCTCAATGTAATATTCTCTGTCCCACCATTTGCTCTGCAGTGAATTCACATTATTAGAGTTTCTGGTGGAAATCTGTACAGACAGTTTGAAGTATTTTGAAAAAAAATTTGAAAAGTATTTTTCTTTTCAGACAGCAAAAGCATTTTTCTTTCTATCCCAACTTCAGAGGTTGTCCTAGATTGCCACGGTAATTGAGATCCTGAAGTTTCACAGAGATTAGTAAGAAATCATGTCACTAAGTGAGGCATGGATTCTGTGTGTGTCAAACTCATAGCACAAGCTGTACCTTTTCTCTCTGGTGTGGGCTGTAATGGGATGGTTTGCTATAAACAGGATGGGGACAACCCATGCTGCAGCCGGAGGCTGTATTAGGACAGAGGACATTTGGTTTCTAACACTACACAGTCAGGACTTTAGATAAAGTATAGGAGAGACATAGTTGAAGGAAACTTCTTGGCTATGCAGAAACTTTCTAGTAAGTTCTATTGCAGACTCTTAACCCACTGTGAAATAAGTTTCAGATTTGATTGCTGAAAGAAGCATAGAAAAATATTTAGGTGACTGAAGCCAGGTAACAGGATTAAGGTGGCATCAACAGCAGCAGGCAGGTATTTCCTGCCAACAACATAAATCCATTTAAGCCCAGAGAGTTGCTCCCCCCAAAGATCCAGGGAAATCATATTTGAGAAATACTAGCTTCATAAATGACCAATAGCACAGAAAACATGAAAACTTGTCAGGGTCCCAAAGTCTTCATTGTTCACAGAAGAAAGCAATTTATATACCTAGAGCTGCTTGACATCCTTGCAGCATCAGCTCTGTGAATGAATCAGGAGTATTTCTTCCTGAGGAGTCTGAACATACTGAAAATGCCCACCGTTTCATGATTTGGAGAACCACATATTGACACTATTTCCTTTGGCTGACCCTGTGGCACAGTATACATAATTCAGGGCAAGTATGTTTAGACGGGATCATAGTGGGGGAGACCAAATGTGGAAATGACAACCTGGTAACAACACCCTCTCTTTCTGTCCCACAGGTGTGCTGGAATGGCCATTTTGGACAAAACTGGTTGTGGTGGCCATTGGCTTCACAGGAGGTCTCGTCTTCATGTATGTACAGTGTAAAGTCTATGTTCAACTGTGGCGTAGGCTGAAGGCCTACAACCGTGTGATCTTTGTGCAGAATTGCCCAGACACTGCCAACAAACTGGAGAAGAACTTTTCATGTAATGTGAACACGGAAATCAAGGATGCTGTGGTTGTCCCTGTGCCACAGACAGGTTCAAATTCACTGCCACCTGCAGAGGGCGCTCCGCCTGAAGTTATACCAGTCTGATGGAACTAGAAGGGAACTTCACAGAAGAATCTTTACAGCCCCAGCCACTACAAACAGAAATGTTTCTGCTCTGGTGGCTTCCTTGTCTTCTCCGTTCCCCTACTGACTTGTTTGTCCTGACTTGGAGTAAAAAAGGAAATGAGGAGAGAATATCAAGTGACCAGGATCCCAAGAAGCAGAGCCTGCAGTGGGTCATGGAAAGATGTCTTAGGGAGTGAGTTCAAAAGGAACAGTTGGTACAAACAATGCTTCCAGTGAGGAAAGACTGGACAGACATGAGATCCTCTTTCAAGCAGTGCAGAGGGAATCCCAGAACAGACTTCAAATGCAGTGTATGCTTCTTTGGAGGGTTCTGTACCATTAGCCTTCTCCACTGGAAATGACACACATCTGGTCTTAAGCCAAAAATGTGTGCATCATCCCTAAGTCACACCAGAGGCAAACTTGGAGGACCTGAGGTTTTTTACACATTGACAGATGATTTTTCTGGCTATTGTGAAGTATGGTTATTTTGACAGATGCATGTTTTTAAATGGATGCAATACACATTTGGAGATAGAAATGTTTGGAATTTTGTTTAAATTTAAATCATGAAGAAAAGATTTTCAGAGCATTGTGGTGTTTAGCTAGTAGTTTTTTGCAAACAACTATCATGACGTGTTTTATCTGGTCCCTCTTACACACTGCTCAATGATAGACACATCACTTGATTTGCAAATGCAGATGTAAAATTTCAATCTCCTAGTGTGCCCCACTAGGAAAAGTAAAAATAGGTCAATTAATTTTTATAATTTATTCAACATTATATATACAAGTTATGTGATGTCATCAACAAAAAGTCATTAAAATGGCTTTCATCATTTTCTTGGACCAAGTCTTCAAAATCCAGCATGTATTTATGACACACTTCCATCTAAACGCAGTGTGTTGGGCAGGATCTACTAAGGATATTGGACAGCAGAGCCCTCTCATTAAAAACTACACCTGTCTCATTTAACAGTTGGATATTTCAGAACAGCAGTTAGGTCCACTATTTTGCTGTTTCATTTAGAGGTTGACTAATAAAGCACCAAATTAAGTATTCCAGCTTGAATTCAATGAAGGCACCACTTTTCAAAGGGGTGAAAAAAACTGAAGTATAGGGCGTCAGTAGGATCTGTAGCAACGTTATGAAATTAACTTCTGTATAATACATATAAAGTAATCGTGACAGGGCAATAAAATTATAAATTTTGCTTTCAAATCTGCATGGAATGTCAGTGTGGCAGGCAAGCATCTTAACTAAGGCTCTCAACCATCTTCACAGCTGACAGTGTTCCCTTGCTCAGCTCAGAAGTAAAATTATTCCAGATTCTATGGTGATGAGCTGGTTGTCAGTTCAAAAGTTGAGCACAGTCACACAAACTGCTATGACACTGCAGTGAGCTAAGTAAATAATCACATACAGTTACCCATCAAAGAAAGAGACAACAGTTTTAAAAGTGACTTTTTTTTTTTGGTTAGTTGTCATTATTTATTGTCCTGAAAAGGCAGAGATGGCCATAAAAACCAAAGCATGGGCATCATGTTGCACAAATCTGGGTACCACATCCATGCACTTTGTAATTATCAGTATGTTTGTTCTTCACAGATTATCAAAGGAAAAGGAAAAAAAAAAAAGGATCTTTCTGAGAAGAGAGTATGCTATCTGTAGTGATTGACACTGGGTCCAAATAGTCCCACTCTTAGAAATAAAGACATAGTAAACAATGTCAAGTGTGTGTGTGTGTGTGTGTGTGTGCGTGTGTGTGTGTGTGTGTGTGTGTGTGTGTTGTATATTCATGTACATACACAAGAGAAATGTTAAAAGTATTCAATCAGGAAACAAATGCTTAAAAACTTCTTTTTTAAAACTTGTGGGAGGGGCAAGGATTAAATATGCAGGGACAATACGAAGGACATAATTAAACTGGGCCAGACAGACCTCCAGAACAAATAAGGATTCGAATACATTAAAAAGACCTAAACCTCAAAATTGGTATTAAGTTTCTGAATAGTTTCCATTTTAAAGATTTAAGATGACTATGAACAAAGGATGGATGTGGTGATCATGACTTCACACAAGGGGTTAGCCGTCCTTCAGTTTGTCCGAGTATTTCCCTAGCTCTTACTAATGCATTTTGGTAGGCACACAATCTGCTACACAGTGAATCCCAAGTAGAAACCAGTGTAGGCTACAAGACCTTTTTCCAAAAACAAAACTACCAAGGTTTAAAACTAAATAAATAAATTGAAACCATCTTTGCACACTCTTGTTAATAATGGAGTTTTCACTTACTATAACAATGGAAAGGTTTGGCTTTAGTGGCCAGACTTACAGCTCACAGAGAAAAACTGCTTTACAGAACGGCATTATCTTGAGGCGTGTTTACCTGCTCTCAGCAAACAAAGTGAAACTGAGACAAAACATTCAATTGTTGAGTTTACAAATTGTTGAAACTGTTGAAACAGATTTTTATAAACACAAAATGAAGCTGGGCTATTAGAAATGGCATAAACCCAACACTGAAAATGCTTTCTATCAAGACTTGACAGTTCCACTAGGTATAATTATTCAATTCAAAAGGAATGAAATTAAAACATTTAAAAGTGAAGCCCAGGATTGGGAAAGACAAGTCAGTGGTTAGACACTTTCTGTTCTCATAAGATGGTCCTGGTTGAGTTCCTGGCAACCACATGACAGTTCACAACCAGCTGTATATTCCACTTCCAGGATGCCCAACACCTTCTTCTGGCCTCTGAGGGTCCCCTCACACATACATGGACAGATACACACATTAGAAAAAAAAAAGAATACAATTTTAAAAAGTGAAGCCCCCCCCCTGCGCAAGCAGGTTACCTTTAGTATAAAACAATAACAAAACCCTATAAAAATAAAGAAAAATGTAACTTAGGAGTCCCAATAATCCAGAACACTGTAATGCAGACATCGAGTCCTTCTCAGAATGTCCCAGGATCAAACCTCACCCAGAACTGCTGCTATAGGTAACGGTATCCCACAGAACCCCCAAACTTATTTTTCTTTTGTGAGAAGAACCTAGGGTACCCTTCAGACATTAATACTTCTGCTGAAGTGAGGGCATTATGAGAAATGAAGTCATTATGAGAAATCACAATGGGGGGGTGAAATAGAAAGCATTTATTCCATCTGTCAGATACAATTTATCTTGCCTTGCCAATGAATATTTTGGGGGCAAATAATAAGTGGAGAACCTAAAACTTCCTGTTGTAATGGTTATAAAATGGCGTCCTTCCGTCAGCTCAATGGTGCTAATTTACACGATACAAATGAAAGGAAGCACTGTCATTTGAGGCAGCAGCACTTCTCCCACACCTGAAGAAGCCCATGCTGAAATCGGAAATAACATTCACACAAAGGAGAAAATATTATTTAAAACTGTGTGCAACTTTTGAGATTGGGCATTTGTACTTTTTCAGTTTTACCTAATTGTCCTTCATTAACAATTTACTGTTTGTGAGTAATGTGTGCTTAAGACAAACTAAGGAAACTAATTATCTGTGAAAGACTTTGTATATTAAACAAATGCTCCAAATCTTGGCTGTAGTTTCTCTACTTTCTGCCTAATGTATTGGGATTCCTAGAATTGTATTTAGAGTATTTAGAATTCTTAATTTAAGATCTGATAATGGTCTGAGTTTTTAAATAAAATTTCAACATACTGTAAATTTGGGGGCCCCTCCTAGGATGTCATATTACTGAGAAAATTGGGGGTTCCTTTCAGGATACTTAGTATCCTGAATACCTAAGTGAAGGGCCAGCTCCCCATTACGGCAGCCATGACAGTAACACGTGCTTTTCTGACCTTGCCTTGGCCACTAGAGGTTAGGTGCCTGCCTCGTGGCAAGGAACCATGAAAGGCCCATGAACTCTTCAATGGACACAGTCAGCATTTAGTTAAGCCTCATCTAAAAATCCTTGCTTTCTTTTTCTTGCAGTCTAGAACTCCTTTGTCATGGTGCAACCCCATCCCAATCTCATCCACTGCTTTAAAAGCCTCCCTGTAAACAGAACTTCTCACTTCTCAATCTGATTATTGCTGTGACAGACCTGACCATGTTGGATTGGGAGGATTGCTGGAGAAGTTTGGAGTTTAGGGCTAGAAAAGCCATTGTAAGCTCAAAGCTTGGTGGGTTTTTCTGTGGGAGCTTGGTAGACAAGGATGTTGAGAGCAGATGATGGCAGCCTGGCATGTAGAGTCCAGGGAGAAGTCTGAAAGTCACTCAAAGATTCTATTGAAGGGATCAGCTCCCCATTTCGGCAGCCATGACAGTAACATGTGTTCTATGACCTTGTCTTAGTCACTAGAGGTTAGGTGCCTCTCTCATGACAAGGAACCAATCAGAAGTTAGCTTTTACGGACAAGCACACAGCAATGACGTACAGAGCATAGCAACCACCCTGGGAGGGCCTATGGGCCATAACAACCAATTGGCCAATCAACACAGGGCAAACCCTCCAAGCCTGGAGGCACACCAATCCTGAGCCTGTGCGTACTCCCAGACACTCCCCTTATGCTGCCCTACAAGATCTCTCTGCAGCCGGTTTGGTCTGTCTTTGCTAGCCATCCGCCATGGCGGGTGGGTGAAAGACCTGAGCTAACATGGAGTTAGCTCGTTAAACAACAATAAAGCCTCATGCAGTTTGCAGCAAGTTTTTGAATCCGCCTGGTGATTGGGGTGACCTCGGTCCTGGGCTGGGACCACAGAGGCCTGAGTTTTCCGGGGGTCTAACATAAGAACAGACTCAGAAGGAAGTCCCAGGACAATTTTATTGGACTTTGATCAACAGTGGGGCAGGAAAGCTGGAAACAGCAGCAGCTGCCAGAACAGAGGATGAAAAAGTTGAAGAGCCATGAAATCTGAGGAAAGATAGCATGTTGAGCAATGCATGTCAGCCATTCTGAACAACAGCTGCAGACATGTCAGAGGGCTTCAGATTGAAAGTGAGCCCAAAGGATGGGGGAGAGTATGCCCAAGTTCAGAACCGCACTGGAAGACAGAAAAGAAAAGTTACACCTTTTCCCGAGAGCTGTGCCAACCTAACAGAGCTTCACGGAGGCTCAATATTGACTGCACCTGGGCCCAGCTTTCCAGGAAAGAGGGAAAGGAAAGTACATTATCTCTTTAAAGTGATAGTTACCTGTCCTCTCTCCAGCATGAATGAAGAAGGTCAACTGGCCTTTCTAAGGGGGAGTCCCTTAGCCAGGCCAACCAGATTAACACTTATGCTTTGGGTAGTCACCACACAGCGTTCTTTTGACCAAGAGGAAATAGATTTCCTTCAATGGGCCTCAAAAATAGATAAGAATAAATATCCAGTAGTCAAAGATAATAGTAACACAAACTTCCAAAATCCATTTTGAGAGCGTATGAGGAAATTTACTGTGTGAACGATGGCTGCATCTCTTGGCCAGCTGCTCTAGGTCTCACATTGCTCTGCGGGCAGGTTGGATGGGGGCAGGGCTCCTCACCATGACCTCTGTCACTGCCTGCAGTCTGGGGAGCTGTTTGCGAAGAATTCCTGGCTGGTAAACCTTAAGTTTCCAGCTTCATAAAAAAAAAAAAAAAAAAAAAAAAAAAAAAAAAAAAAAAAAAAAAAAAAAACAATCACA